TAGATGATTTTAAAGAAATACCAGGTACACAAAAATATTTTATTTTTAATTTTTTTTTAATAAAAAATATCTAAAAATATTGCATTAAAAAACAAAAAAAAATTTACATATATATATATATAAAATACGCTATAACATGTTAATGTAATAACACAACACATTGTTAAAACTTTTAACAATTACCTTAATTAACTTTGTTTATGTTTAACAATACCAGAGAAAATTATTAATTTTTTTTTTTTTTCTCGACTAAAGGAGCGGGAAGGGGACATGATTGTTTTATTTTTTTTTAACTGATAAATTTGTTTTTTCCAGGGAATGGTAATTTAGTAGATTCCGACAATCATCTATGACAAAAAGAAAAAAAAATATATTGCAAATAATTGATGTACCGTGCCAGAGGGCGTGCGCATCGAACAACCATAAAATGGGAGGAAAATCCATAAGCTCTAGTAAAGTAGTTACTGCGACTAGAAGAGCAAACGTAAAAATTTTCCAAACAAAGAATTGTGATTGAAAATGAAGAAAACTCCATAGAAACCACCCGAGAACGGTTAGACCACCTAAATTTTAATAAAACATTTAAAATTTCATGATTGATTTGATAATAATATTTGAGGTGTATACACACACACACACACACACAACAATGTTTGACTTATGGTGTAAATATTTTCCAATTTTTTTAAATGAAAAATTTTCATTTATAAAAATTAATTTACCTAATAAGCAGCTGAGTTGCATGTTATACCCATAATCAAAATTATAAAGCCATAAATATGATACGTGATTTAGACCGAAAAGACCGCAAAATATGGACCATAATAACGTTTTCTTATTTATAGAAGGACTTATGTATCTGAGACCCATTGCGTAAAAAGAATAAATAATCAAAATAAAAGCCGATATATAATCCATTTTTTCTGTGAAATCGACATCTCTCGTATGATATACGGTTGACCAAAACCAAGAATTTAATTGAATCTAAAAAATTATTTTTTTTTGTTTTTTGTTTTCACATGCGTTTATATTTTATTAATAACTATTTATAATTTCTTTTTAAGGTTGTATATAAAATTGAACTGCTTTTAGAATAAAAAAAAGAAAATTTTTAATTTTTATATTATATTGAGTTTCTTTCTTTCTTTCTTTGTTCATTTAAATATTATTGAAGGATTTCAATTATTATTTCGATTTAGGAAGGAATTAGTGTTTTGCATTCAAACTTGATAAATTATCAGTTATCAACATCAAAACTGACATCATCATCGTTTATTCAGTGCTACCTTTTTCGATTGCTGTTCATTTATTAATTTCATTGTAATGTTGCATTTTTTTCTATTTTTCTTTTCAGATTTATGATAGATTTTTGCTTTAGTAATTTTTAAACCATTTTGTTAATTTATTATTACAAAACCTTTAGTTACTATTTATTGTGAGATTAAAAGTAAATTAATGTTAAATAATATGCAAACCTCATATAATTGATTATTTCTTCAAAGAGAACTTGCATATCATTTTGTTCCTATAAAAAATTTTGAAAGAAAGTCATCTTTACTAATACCCTGAGGGTTTGAGAAGAATGAATACTTTAATTAATAATCAGTCTAATAAAAACAACCTATAATTTCTGCAAATTCTCTTTAAAAAATATAATATTTTTCTTCATAAAGAGTGTTATATGAGTTATTACATGTACAATATGGAAAAGGATATGAATACTCTTAACCTTATTTCGGGCTTATCGCTTTCATTTAAGTAATTTTGAACACTAATTAGTAAACATCCTTACAAAAATAATTATGTTACAAAAAAAAAAAGGGGCATTTCTATATTTTAAATTGGATGCAATTTTAATAAAATAATATCTTACCAAACCAAACAAATTCCATATATAATAGTAAGGAGCAGAATTAGATACTTTTTTTCTAAATAACAGAATTAATTTTAGTACTGTAATAAAATTAAGAACAGAGAAAAAAACTGAAGCTGGCTCTTGAAACCCAAACAGCCTTATAAATGGCCATTTTCCTCTAAATTGTGGTATTGGCCAATTTCTTTTTTGAAAAGATTCAACAGTTTTCCATTGGCATTCATACTCACAATTTTCAATGCATGACCATAAAGAATATTCAAAATTTTTTAAAGCGCGGTGATGTACTTTTTGTTTACCTAAAAATATTTTTAAAAATAAAAATAAATTGTAATACTTTGACAAGTGTTGAGTTATTTTTATTAAATTTTTTACGACATACCTGAGTGACAAAATTTATAATCACAATACTGAACACAATTAATATAAAAAAAAGAATTATCTCCAATTGACCCTAGAACATCTTCAAATAAAAATAAGATGCATGATAACAATAACATACTTTAAATCATCTGAACAAAAATTTTAAAATCTAAAAAAAATTCAAAAACTCAAGAATAATAAAAGCCATGGGAAATAATAATAAACGTGATAGATATCGTTCGATTAATAAATAACGAGTTCATAAAAAATTTACTAAAATTCACTTTTGAAGAATCAAATAATTTTTTTAAATGTAAATATCATAGCATACTAAAAAAAAAAAAAAAAAAAAAACAAAGAAATAAACATCTGATATTTTTTATAAAAATTTATAAATAAAAATAAAATCAACTCTGATAATATATATAATTATAAAAAAAAAATAAAAAATTTAATAAAAAAAAAAATTTTGATTCTAATGATAATCAGGTACGATTTGTCTATACTACGGAGGCAGCTTTCCACCTCCATTACTCGGCCATATTAAGTCTTAAAATGGCGTTTACTGTAATTTAAGGTATTACTTCTAAGAATTTATTTTAAGGTCAAATTTGATTCACCCTGAATTTCTCAGGTTGAAAATTAAACGTTTAAACACTTAATAAAATATATTAATTTTCAACTCTAAAAAAAAAAATCAAGTTAAAAGCAAATTTTTCATATCAATGAAAAAAATACAGTGTAAGTTACTCTTTGTTGCTAAAATTATTTAAAACATATGTCTATTAAGTAATTTTTAGCACGGTATTTCATAACTTTTTTAAAAAAGTAAATTAACATTAGATCTTAGCTCTGATGCTTTTTCCAATTACGATTTTTTTTTGTAAAAATTGCTATATTGATTGACGAAGGTTACGGGTTTTTATTATTCTGAGATATGATAAATGGTGGTAAATAGTTTTCAAACGTGCTATTATCATTAGTTAAGGCTGAATGAAAAAAAAAAAAATTCGGTGTAATATTTATAAATAAATTTAAAAAAAATTAAAACTAATTAAATAATTATAAATACTTTATCAATCACAACATACAATCTGTAATTATAAATACCTATGGTAAAAGTTAACATTTTTTGTGTTGAATTTTAAAAATCATGTACACATATTTATATACGTATATATTTGTGTGTGTGTGTGTGTGTGTGTGCATATAAACGTTAAACGCAATTTTTATTTTTTTATAAGTCAAAAAAAATGAATAGAAATGGTTCATTAAATGTGTATTGTAAATTATTTTTTGTGCTGGGAATTTTTTATAAGTCAACTTATTTTCCAGTTATTGCATTCAAAATCATGATCATGTGGTAAAATTTGTGAAGTCAGGCATACTTGAAAAAAAGAAATTATGAAGTCAACACAGCACAACTTGATAAAAAAAAGTAAGAGAAGTGCAACTGCAGCATTTAAATCTTCACCGGATTCTCTGAAAAATTTTTTGAATCGATTATTGGACCCAGTCAAGGATATTAATGATTCAGAAACTATTGACTGGTGTAGATGGCTTATGGCAGGTGGTCAAACTCCTGAAGAATTTGCAAATGAAGGTAAGTCAAAATTTTCTTATTTTTTATGGGAACATTTAACATGTCATCAATTCTTTTTTTGAAATGGTGTTTTTGATTATTTTGATTATATATTATCAAGTTATTTTCTTTTTAAAATTAAAATATTTGTTTAACATAAGTTTTGTAGAAATTATAAAAAAAAAAAAAAACAAAAAAAAAAAAAGATTGAAATAATGATTTTTACGTACCTTTATTTATTAAAGTTATATTAAAAATAAACAAATGAGATTATTATCAATAAGTTTTCTAATTATTTGTTTTTACAGTAAAACAGTTTTTTAGTGTAAAATAAATGAACACAAAGTTCAAAAGTTAATAAACATTTAATTTAAATCATATATTCATATAAAATTTTACCTTACTGTACCTATTTCAGTAAGATTCGTAAGACGATAGTATTTTTTTAAAAATTTAGTTCAAACAATGTATAAAATAAATTTTATTTTTGGTTTTTTTTATTTATTCTTTAAACAATTGTAAAATATTTAAGAATCAATTTAAGAAACTATTACACATTTAAAAACAAGAAAAATATTAAAATAAATTAATAAGTATATTCAATATTTAAAAAATAACTGATAAATTGTATTTTAAAATGTAAATTGTATTTGTTTTAGTCAAACAATATGATAATGCTACAATTTGTGGATTAGTTTGGACTGCTAATTTTGTTGCATACAGATGTAGAACATGCAGAATTAGTCCATGTATGAGTTTATGTGCTGAATGTTTTCGAAATGGAAATCATGATGGACACGATTTTAATATGTTCAGAAGTCAAGCAGGAGGTGCTTGTGACTGTGGAGACATCTCAGTTATGAAAGAGTCAGGGTAATACAAATTTTTTTTGTTCACAGTAAAAGTTCATTTTTATTTTCTACAGTGATGAATGTTTTTTTTTTTTTTTAAACATTTTAAACTTTATTGTTAATTTTAGTTTTTTATTTTTCATCTTTTTTTTGTATCCATTTTTTATTTGTGTCATAAATAACTGACAAGTAGTGTTCTGTAATCATCATTTATTATCATTTATTTTTGTTTTTAATTAAAATAATTTTGTTAGATTTTGTGGTCGACATGGAGCCAAGCAGTCCCAACCTCCTAGTGCTCCTGATCATTTGATGTGCCTTCCCAATGCAATCATGCCTAGACTTGTTTTGAGATTAGTTCAACACATGAGAGAAAATAGTAATTCAAGAAGAAATGATATGGGAGATGCTGATGCGTTTCTTGCAATGTTGCATGATTTTTCTTCAATGGGAGCTGCCATGAGAAGGGTTATGACTACAGCTTTAATTGATCCCCAGGTATAGTGAAATAAATGTTTTGTACTTCATAAATAAAAAAATTAGCAAGTTTAAATGGAAAATTAGTATATGTACTTTTATCATTGATCTTTTTAATTGAAGAACTTAATAGCAATGTAGTATTTTTTTTCATATTAAGTTTTAATATTTAAAAAAATTTCAAAATTTATTTTAATATTTACTTTTGATTGGTTGTTACTACTGTAATATTATTTTCTAAGCAAATATAAATGTTCGAAATCATTTTCAAAAGAAATAGAGTAAGTATGGTTTTAAGGTAGCAGGTTCTTTTTTTTTTTTTTTTCGTGTTACGGCCTTTGTATTTTACCTTGAATTTTTCAGTTCAGTCAATTAAAATATGAGGAAAGAAACTTATTAAAAAAAAAAACAAGAAAAACAAAATTAAACAAAATTTACTTAGTATTTAAGACGATATATAAAAGTTACTTTATTTAGTTGAGAGTAGTGTTATATTTTGATTAAAATAAATTGTATTTTTCTAAATTATTGGTACTTACTCTAAATTGATTGTTCTGTTAAAAAAATTAAAAGTGCAAGCATTTTATGTGACGTTTAATGACATTTTACGACAAAACTTAGAAATTAAACAAAAAATTTTTAATACGTAATTCACATATAAAAAAATTAAATGAAGCAATATTTTAATTTTATTTCAAAATTTTTCATTTTTTTTTTTTTTTTTTTCAGATTTACAAAGAATTAACAGACTTGCCACACCCTAGCTCTGATCCAGAATTTTCAGATTCTGTCGTGACCAGTACTCAACTGTATCATCAAGCTCTGCAATCGCTTCCTAACCCTGAATTTCCTGATGAATTTAAAAATTGTCCGGCTCTTCAAGAACATTTAGTTCATAATAACTTTTTAGAGGAACTTATGTTTTGGACATTAAAATTTGAATTTCCTCAACAAGTCGTATGTCTCTTGTTAAATATGCTACCGGATTTAGAATATAAGGTATGAAATATGAATATTTACTTAATTTTTTTAATATTTTAAAATGGATGGATGAATAATTGTATAATAAAAATGTTTTGTATTTTTAGGAGCCTCTGACTCGAGCTTTTGTACTGCATTACAGCAGAGTGCCTATGATGCTAGAAAAAAGTACTACGCCCGATACTCTTTCTAACAGAGTAGTTCATGTATCAGTTCAACTTTTTAGTAATGAAAATCTCGCTTTGAAAATGACGAATGAATTAAATTTGTTGCACGTAATGGTTATTAGTTTAAAATTTATGATGGCAAAAATATTAATTCCCAACACCCTACATGGTAAATTGAGCGTGTAAAATCAATGTTTCTTTTTTTTTTTTTTTTTTATATGTAAAAATTTCGTTTTAATATTACCGTAGATCCTGCGAAAAATTTTCATTTGGTCGTTGACTGTAGCCAGGACGTCATGAAAGAGCATTGTTATTGGCCTTTGGTGTCAGATTTAAACAATATATTATCTCATCAACCAGTTGCACATAAATTTATGAGTGACAGCAGTCTGTTGGAAATGTGGTTTAACTTTTTATCAATGTTTCAAGGTTTATAAATATTTTAACCAGTTTTTTATTCAAATTTTATACCGATAAGACAAAATTAAATAACAATATTATTTTGTTTTAGGAATGAATGTAAATAGAAGAGAATTATATCAACACGTTGAATTTGAGCCATCCGCTTATTATGCTGCATTTTCGGTTGAGCTGGAAGGGTCCGCATATCCTTTGTGGGCTTTAGTTTCTCATTTAAAAGATAGCTCTACATTACACTTGACAAAAAATATTCTCAATGGGTGTATTTCTGCTTTACAAGACTGGTTTGATGCAATAAATTTTACTCAACCAGTTATGGTAACCTTAATTTGTTTTTATAATTTTCATATTACATTTAATATGTATTAATATTTTATTCAAATGCAAACAATAATATTTTCAGACTGATCATAGGCAAGTTTCATTTCATCTCCCTCTTCATCGTTATTTGGCAATTTTGATGAATCAGGCTGTAAAATGCCAAGGAGTAACTCTAAAACAAATGCTTCCACCTCTTTATCTTTTAGAGTTAGTGTATCAGCATCCTCTCAGATTACAGGTAATTGTCAAAACTTTATTATCAATCATTATTAATTAATACAGTCAATTATTATTTTTGTTATTTTATATTTTGCATAATTTTTTTTTTTTTTTTTTAAATATAAATTCAGGTTGCATTTTATGAAATATTGAATGGTATGTGGGTCCGGAACGGTTTGCAAATAAGAGGTCAAATGATGACTTATATTCAGTGCAATTTTTGTAATTCAATGGTTGATGAAGATCTTTATCTTTTGCAAGTGTGTGCCACACAAATTGATCCAGAAAAATTTTTTATGGATGTATTAAAAGCGTAAGCTTTCACCATTTTTACTTTTATCTTAGACATAATCGCTTCAAATTTTTTTATTTATTGTTTTTTTTTGTGCAATTTTTGTTTTTTGATTTATAATTCTTAATTTCGAGCTTAAATTTTTTTAAAAAGTTTTGTATAACTTCTCCACCGAAAGAGTAGTGATTGAAACATTATTTTTGAAATCAAAATATCAAAATCTAACTTGCGATTGTAAATCTCAGTAATAGTCAAAAATTGTAAAATTATTGACTCTATTTTTTTTTCTTTTAATATTAAAATTAAGAGCGTGTGACTTTTTTTAATTGAATCGATAAAAAATTACTATAAAATGAAAGTTTAAAACAATTTATAGACTTAAATTTTAACAAAATTTTTTTTAAAAAAAATTAACTATAAAAATTTTATTTATAAAGTAAATGGTTCTACAATACATATTAATTATTTATTATTTTCAATAGTTTTCGAGTGATAGAAGCTTTGTCTATTGTACCTTATGGAAAAACGTATTCATTTGTCGATTATGAATTCGCTCCTGCCATGCTTGAAAGTTGCCTTACATTTTTAGCTATTTTGGTACACATAAGATCTAATTTAGGTATAGTTCAATGAGAAATTTTTTTATAATTCTTTGTCTTTGCTTTATAACACCAACTTTTTTTTGATTCGAGTTTTTAAAAAAAATATTTTTAGGTGTTAGTGATAACTGGGTAACAAAGCTAGAAATGGTGACATTGTTGTGCATGGGGGATAAAACTCATTCTCAGTTGATAGAATTAATGCCCGAAAGATGTGGATCTGGACAGACTGGAGACTTTGATGATTTGCTTGCCGAAATAGCAGATTACACAGCTCCCAGCAAAATGAGGCAAGGAATGTACAGACCAAAACCACATGTTTGGGAAGAATTATACGATCCCATTCATGTACTTCTCAGAGCGGTGCAAAGAAAAGATTTTCAAACTTCAATGGATCGTTTTACTGACTAGTGAGCACAATACAGTTTTTGTTTTTCTAATTTTTTTTAAATATCAGCAAACGATTTTTCTAATAATATGTCTGTCTATATCTTATTCAATTGCTTTATGTATTCATTTTATTCAAGCATTAGCACTTCTGAAGCTAACAACAGTTCTCACAATGGAAATTCATCATCTAATACTGGGAATATATGGCCACCTTTAAGACCTCCAGTGCCTTGTGGAGAAGCTTATGAAGATCCTAGGAAAGTTTTACAATCACGTATTTTTCATGCTACAATTTTTTGTATCTTGTATAAAGCTGTGGACCGCCGTAATATATCAGAACATACTTTAGCACTGGCTTTATATTTGCTAGAAATGGCAATTATTTCAAGTCCTCCGTCTTCAGAATTCGAGGTTTTACTTTTTTTTTTAAATATATATATAACAAAAAAACTTTTACTTATAAATGTTAAATTATTACAATCGTTTGTAAAATAAAATAATTTCGTTCGATTTTTTTTTAGTTGTGCCAGACAGAATGTTGTAACAGATACGAGGTTAAAGATAATGATTTGACTTCATTCTACGAACAAGATTGGTTGGCTCACAATTTGCGAACGGTAATTCACAATTTGGTATTCATTCATGAACCGGAATCAAAATCGGATCGGACCGAAGAAAAACCATATGGTGATGTTTCTCAGAATCAGGTATTACTGTGACTATATTATAAAACAATATGTAAAATAAAACTATTGAAAATCAATAATAATAATAATAATAATAATAATAATTTAATTGCAGGAAGCTAGTCGCGACAATTTTTGTTCTCGAACCATAAACGTGATATCATACAAGAAAATGGGGCACAACACTTCGGTCTCAGGTCATTCCTCCGATTTACCGAGCACCAGTCAAAGCTACAATTCTCAAATGGTTCAAGTAAACCAAACGGCGTCCACGTCGTTAGGAAATAATGTGCTAACGGGGGTAAAAAAAAAAAAAAATCAATAATTAAATTTAAATTAATTGAATTTTTTATTCTCGTGAAAGTTTTAATTTAAAAAAGAAAGATTTTATTATTTATTTATTTTCGTACACCAGTAATTTCTTATTAATGACTGATAAGAAATATTTGATGATTATATTTTTAGTCTGACTCTGAGGAGTTAAAATACAATTCGGAGAATTCTTTACCTCAAGTTTTTCTGCACGTCAACGAAAGTATAATATCCCTTTTGCTCAAACTTCATTCCCAGTTATCTGGAACACCTGACTCATATGTTGTTGGACAGCAAACTTCCGAAGGCTTGTTGGATTCACGAATTGGAGATGGAGCTTTCTTCGTTGCCAAAATATTAGATCGAATCGCTAGTCTAGATGAAATATGCAGGTATGCATGAAATGAAATAATTATAAAGCTTTTTAAGAAGCAATTTAAAAAATCATAATTGAAAAATTTCAAATTAATTTTTTTAATTAAAAATATTTTAGGGATTTTATATTGGAAACAAAAAAGAGGCTGTGGATGAAAAGAGCTGAAGAAAATTCTAATGAAACAAAAGAAAGGGAAGAAAGAAAACGTAGGGCAAAAAAAAGGCAGCAACAATTAATTGAAGAATTTGCCAGAAAACAAGAACAGTTTATGAAAAAAGCTACTGAAACAAGTAATAATAATTATCAATATTTTACTATATACATATATATATTTTAGCCAAACCTTTAATTATTCATTTTTCCCAAGACATTCACAGACACTCCAGTGAAAATTTTATTTATTGTGCCTCTTTGATATTCTTGTTAATTATTATTATCATCATCATCATCATAAGTTGTCAAGACAGTTTCTTTTATTTTAATAATAATAATAATAATTTGAAATTTTTTAATGAATTTTTCAGAAGAGGATTATGAAAGTATGGAATGGAATGGTGAAAACACAGCTCAAGTTCAACTCGAATACCATTGTGTAATATGTAATCAAACAGCTCCATCAACAAAGGATAATCCTATGGGGTAAATCTTTTAATGATCCATTTGAATAACAAAAAACGATAAAAAAAAATTAATTTTTATATTTATATTTTAGGTTAATTGTGTTAGTTCAAGGTTCAAGTGTCTTAGGATTTCAGCGTAAAAGTGATGTTAACGAAACACTGCCTACGTCTGATGAAGACAAAAAAATTTCTATTAAAGAAAATTCTCGAGCTAATGATTTTGATAGTAAAATATTTGAATTAAATAGAGAATTTGATTCGGTAAGTTCATTTTTTCTTTTCTTTTTTTTTTTTTTTTTTTTTTTTTTTTTTTTGTTTAATGTAAAATCGTTATCAATTAAACTTATTCCTTATGTTTTCAGAATTCTTGGCTTTTGTCCGTAAATTTAGGCTGGGAGGGAGGAGTTTATGTTCAAACATGTGGTCATCATGCTCATATGTCTTGTTTAAAATCTTATTGTCAGTATTTAAGAGATCAGGAACGACATCCGTCTCTTGCTGTTGATAAGTAATTTTATTTAATGTTTTTCCGAGTACTCTATACCGTATATCTTTATCTCTATATATTGACCTTCTTATTTTTTTTTCTTTTAAGGCGCGAATATTCTTGTCCGTTATGTCGACGATTGGCAAATAGTGCTTTACCTTTGGTACCAGAGTTGGGAGAAATAACTTCTGTTGTCAGAGCAAGGCCTCAAAATTTATCTAATCAAATTTTATTTATAACAAACCTTCTTAAAAATTATGCGGTAAGGCCGGAGTCGTCGGACCTTTTAGAAGCAATGGGAAAAAGCATGGAAGATATGACCAAATGTACACACCTAAGGTAAAAAATCAATCATACTAAATTTTTCTTTTTTTTTTTGTTTTTACAATTATTTATATTAAAAAAATTTTTTTTTTTTTAAATTTTGTAGATTTAAACAAAAAACAGATCATCCGAGTCCTCAGAGCCTTTTTTTATTTGTTTCATCAATTGCAAGAACAAATTTAGAGATCGAAATAGTTCAAAAAGGAGGATCTCTTTTAATTAAACCAGTTGAGTCTTTATCTCCAAAACGGTCTTGTATTGGTAGGTTTAAATTTTAAAATAATACTTTTATATTTACAAAGAAAGATTGATTATTAATAATTTTAAAAAACTATTTCAGTCCCGCTTTTACACGTGTTGGCTGTTCATGGGAGAATTTTAGCGCAATGGCCTGTATGGCTTACTTGGCAGCATTTAACGCAAATACCCGTGGAAAGCAGTGAAACTCAGCTTGCTAATGTTGAAAAAGAAGTACCTTTGCTTCTTCGAGATCCAATCGCTTTATTAATACAATTTTTACTTTTTTTACCAATAAATTTAGACCAAAGTTAGTAATCCAAAATATTTGAAAGTTTCTTTTTGTTGACAAATTTAAAAGGGAAATTTTTATAAATTTATTTTTTTTTTTTTTTAGGTTATTTTAGTTGTATAGTTAAATGCTTATATAATCTGTTATATTTTCAAATATTATCTCAAATTACTGTAAATATGACTGATATGGAAAGGGAAAGTAGGAGAAGTTCAATGTCAGACTTATGGTAAAATTAATTCATAAATTCATTAATTATTATTTATTATTTTCATTATAATAATCATTGTTTTTAACAAAAAAAAAAAAATATTTTTATTACAAACGTTATAAAACGTTGCAGTTCCGAATTAAAATCTGTAGATATGGGGCTCAATTTTGTTATTAGTCAATTAGAAGGTACTTCATTATATATTGACTCTGGAGGAAGTTCGAGCGTGGAA